GGGGGGGGTAAACCCACTACGCCGGGGACCGGCTTGCCGGAGAGAAAGAGTTAAGAGGCAAGACCTCTGAATTTACCGTCTGTCTCTGATAGAAACAGGCTTAACAATAGGCGGAGAGTCTTGAAAACTCCACAAAAGGACCCAAGTTCAAGAACACCCAGCCTGGTATTTGAACCAGGGCCATCTGCTCCAGAGTACAGCATGAAACCGACTCAGCTGATAGAGCTCTCCAAACAGCCTACGTAGCCTCAAAATATTGGAAGAGTCGGGACCGAAACAGTTTTCACAGATACAAAATGCAAGACATAATTTTTTCATGAACACTGTAACTTATTGTCGCCAAAGAACTATTTTGTCCACGGTGTACTTAAATAAACAGTCACTTTGGACAAAATAGATCTGAGGTGACAATATCATGAAGAGAGCAATGGGAGAAGTGCAGACAAAATGAGTCGTTTCTTCAAGGGTTTCAGCCCAAAGGAAATAGACGATATGTCAAATTTATACATTGAGTTTATGTACATTATTAGTATGAAGAAATAAAAGAAATGTAAAACTTGAAGATGGCATCACTTGAAAATCTACACAAATTTGACCCCTAGGTTGATTTTCAGCCCATACATTTCCATTAATTTATTGAGATAAGTAACTCGTTCTGTCATCGAGCTCACAAACAAACAGTTCAAGCACACAAATAGTCCAACATGGATGGAGCAATGAGCCACATGGATGGATCACCTGATTTCAACGGACAAGAAAAATGAGCACAAAACTCGAGCTTACTTCAATGGAATATCAAAAAATAGTCTCAGACTCAGAAAAAAACAACAACTGAACACATTAAACGATATTTTGATCTTCACACACAGTCACTTAGTCTAAGCTATAACAAAACAATCCGATCCGTGGAAACTCAGAGACTGCTGCCACATCATCATCTGTTCTTTCTCACATCGTGATCTAAAATGTGAGGCAGCACGGTGAGCTCAGGCGCTTGTCAAAATCATGAATTGAAGAAACTGGCATTTTTCTGCTGGTTTGGAAATGGTATCGAATTTTCGTCTTTCCGCTTAACACCTTTAATGTCTATTTAAAAACACATTTCAACGTGGATTTTACTGAAAACATTGATTAAAGGCACATAAAATGCAGATTTGCAGTTTTCAAAGACTCTCAAGCTTTGAAGTCACTTAACTTTGGCAGCCATTTTCTCGCTAGTTTGACCCCTGAAACCAGGTAACCCCCACCTCCTTCAATCCGTAATTGACTTCCTTTCAAGATAGATGGAAAATGCTTTTAGCGAAATCAAGATAAGTGAACAAGCTTTAGGATGATACCAATAACTCCATATATGCCCAAAAATTGAGGAGAATGGGGCGCATCAAATGGTCCTAGTCTCATTCTCTTCTTAAAATAGCAAACGGGTTTAGATGAATTATATATTTGTGTGGAATCGCAGTGAAAAATCAGTCGCTTGTCAAAATAAGGAAATTTAAGAAACTGGCATTCTCTGCCCGTCAGGCAATTTTTATCTTATTTTTTGTGTGTTTATTTTGGCTCAACACCTTTTTAAAAACATATATCTGTCTCAATTTTACTCAAAAATATAGATCAAGGTCACAAAAAAATGTAAATTTGCAGTTTTCAAAAACAGTCAAACTTTGGAGTTGATCAAACTTAGTCATTTTCTCGCTAATTGTACCCCTGACACCAGGTGACCCCCACCTCTTTCAAGTGCAAATGTCTCGACTTCTACTCAAGATTGAAGAGTATTTTTTTTCCAAAAGCAAAATAACTGAATAAGCTTTATGATGACACCATTGGCTCTATACGCCCAAAACTTGACACACGCCTGATTCTACCGCGTCGTGACACATTTTGTACGAACAATGTCCTGTCAGAAACAAAACAAGTTTCCGCATCTCGTGAAAACCTTGTATTTTCACATATATATATACAACAAGTACTGTTTTGCTAGAGTAGCGACGATATGTAATGTGCTCAGACTCATCATTGCCTTTCTCACCCTGGATCAGGATATAGGCCACGGACAAACACTTTCTCACCCTGGATCAGGATATAGGCCACGGACAAACACTTTCTCACCCTGGATCAGGGTATAGGCCATGGTCAAACACTTTCTCACCCTGGATCAGGGTATAGGCCACGGACAAACACTTTCCACCTTTCTCTATCCTGGGCTAGCCTCTTGATGTTATTCCACGGCTTCCCACTTTTCTCTACATCAATTTCTGTGACTCTTCTCCAGGTTCCACGTGGTCTTCCGCTTGATCTTTTACCCTGCGGATTCCAATCCAACACTTTCCTTGTTATGTAGCTTTCCGACTTCCTGAGAGTATCATGTCCATCCATCGCCAACGCCTTCTTCCTGACTCATAGAAGACCGCGACATAGCTCAGATTGCTGTGACAAGTACACAGCTGTCACAGAGACAAGTACACAGCTGTCACAGTACACAACTGTCACAGTACACAGCTGTCACAGAGACAAGTACACAGCTGTCACAGAGACAAGTACACAACTGTCACAGTACACAACTGTCACAGTACACAGCTGTCACAGAGACAAGTACACAGCTGTCACAGAGACAAGTACACAGCTGTCACAGCTTTGGTTCTCTCGGCATGCTGTGTCTGGTTCTGACCGGTACGGCCTCACCCCCGACTGTCTCAAGAAACGACATCTAAAGCAATCTTTCTGGCACAGAAACCCACACAGAGTTTGGTACAAAACAACGCTACTGCACACAAAGACAACCTCCAGTCCTTCGACACTCATGGTATATGGGTAGAGAACCCTTTTGCTTTAGTAGGAGTTTTACGGCATTTGCAACACTATAAGGTCGTATAAGCGCCGAAGATTAGAGGTGTTACCAGGGAGTAGCAAACATACTTTACTTTACTTTTCCGATCCAGCGGCCATTTGGGTTCTAGCCCTTCGGTCTGTCGATATGGCAAAGAATTGACAGGTTTTAATCAGCTGTGCTTTGTCGCTGTATAGAGTGTTTCCGATGTCTGGGGAGGCAGGTAGGTAGGTGCTACGCAGGTCACAAAGTGCAGGGCAGTTAAAGAGGTGGTGGGGTACTGTTTCATCCTGGCAGTCGCACAACGGGCAGTCGGGTGGGGTATCCTTGCGGATCCTATTAAGGTAGGAGTTTAGTGGTATGTGTTGTGTTCGCAGGCGAAATATTGTGACTTGTTCTCTTCTACTCAGGGAATTTATTGCATCTTTAGAGTTGGGGGCTGTCATGTGTGCAAATACAGTTCTTCCAGTTTTGCCCATTGCCCATCCACTCAGCCACTGTTCCCTGGTGTTGCATTTGATGATGTTCTTGGCTGTCTGTTGTGATACTGGGTTGTGTGGTTGTGTTTGTGATGCTCCCTTCTTGGCAAGGGTGTCTGCTCTGTCGTTTCCTGGGATGTTGCTGTGGCCAGGTATCCACTGTAGTGTCAGGTCGACGGCACAGGTCTGTAGGAAGGTGTTGATTGTTTGAGCCACAGATAGGCAGGCTGGGCTTTCGAGATTCATGTTTTTCCCAGAGCTTGGAGTACTGACTTTCCAGAGCTTGGAGTAGCAAACATAAAAAGAAGGAGGAGAGATCAGGACGATAGATGTTTGATAGGAAATAAGGAGCAAACCACACCAGAGCACCCGTCAACCACCCACACACGGAGTTCAGTACAAAACAACGCTACTGCTCACAGAGCCAACCTCCAGTCCTTTGACACTCACTCATAGTACAAGGGTAGACAACCTCCAGTCCTTTGACACTCACTCACAGTACAAGGGTAGACAACCTCCAGTCCTTTGACACTCACTCACAGTACAAGGGTAGACAACCTCCAGTCCTTTGACACTCACTCATAGTACAAGGGTAGACAACCTCCAGTCCTTTGACACTCACTCATAGTACAAGGGTAGACAACCTCCAGTCCTTTGACACTCACTCATAGTACAAGGGTAGACAACCTCCAGTCCTTTGACACTCACTCATAGTACAAGGGTAGACAACCTCCAGTCCTTTGACACTCACTCACAGTACAAGGGTAGACAACCTCCAGTCCTTTGACACTCACTCACAGTACAAGGGTAGACAACCTCCAGTCCTTTGACACTCACTCACAGTACAAGGGTAGACAACCTCCAGTCCTTTGACACTCACTCATAGTACAAGGGTAGACAACCTCCAGTCCTTTGACACTCACTCACAGTACAAGGGTAGACAACCTCCATTTCTTCAACACTCACAGTACAAGGGTAGACAACCTCCATTTCTTCAACACTCATAGTACAAGGGTAGACAACCTCCATTTCTTCAACACTCATAGTACATGGGTACCCAGTATGTTCTAGCTCTGCCACAAATCATTCACAGTTTCTGTAGCTCGCTGCTGTTGGAGCAAAAGGAGGTTATTTTTTTGCTGACCAAATAAAGAGAATGAGAAAGAAAATTTGTCAACAGTAGCATTAGATAATTAAGTAGGAACCGTTTTACACTTTCAAAAAAAGCATTTGTTCCAAGCGGCGGTGAAGTTCGGAGGTTTGAGGTGTCTGGGTTTGAACAGCCCGACACTATGACTGGGTCTACCAACAGGAGCTCAGGCCAGCTGTGCCACAGATCTGACGCTTAGACTTGCGCAGGTTGTGCTTGGGTAGATTGACCTCATCGTAAGTTTAGTTTTAATAAGAGTTCTTGTTGTTTTAGTAAGTGTTTAAAGGCACTTGCAACACAAAAAGGTCATATAAGTGCCGAAGATTAGAGGTGTTACAAGAGAGTAACAAACACAAAAAAGAAGGAGAGATAAGGACGATAGATGTTTGACAGGAAAGAAGAAGTAAACCACACCAGAGCACCTGTCAACCACTCATGTAAGAGTTCTACAAAACTTGAAACACAATTAGGTCATTTAAGTGCAGAAGATTAGAGGAGCGACTAGAAAGTAATATACAACAAGAAAAGAAGGAGAAGAGATAAAGACGATAGAAGTTTGATCGGAAAGAAGGAGCAAACCACACCAGAGCACTCGCCAACCACCCACATTTTAAGTTTCAGAATAGAAGAAATAATGTCATCACACTTTCACAAATTCACTAACAACGTCAGAAAACTTGAGGTATCGCTTCACCTGCGACGGCAGAGGTAATGCGTCCAATTTGTCGTCAACGTTCGGGCAGATGGTGTCTCGGATCCGCACCCGACACAAATCCTGCAGCGTTCTGGGATTGGAGGCGTGCACGTACAGGTCTTGGAGAAGCTCCTGGCATCTCTCCCCGATCCCCTCCAGGTGGACCACGAAAGACCGGAGCCTGTCCAGCCGACAAACGGTCACTACGGTCCCCGCGGCGACCAGAAGATCAACGACGACTCGGATCGTCTCGGGCCATGCCGTCGAGTTCATGAACGCTGGGTTTTTGATGGCTGTCATGAGGGGGGACAACTGGTGGAAGTCGTCCGCGTTCACGTTGGCTTTGTAGGCCAGGAGGAGGTGGATCTTCCTGAGGTCCTGGGCGATGCAGGCGTAGTGTAGTGCCGTCTTCCACGACTTTGAGCAAGCGTTTACGTCGGCTCCCCACCGCAGCAGCAGTCTCAAGGTCGTCAGACTAGCCTGCTGGTGGAAGCACGCGGTTTGCAGCGGGGTCATGCCCAGTATGTTCGGTTTGTTCACGTCGGCGCCGTAGTGGTGCAAAACCTGAAGATATGAAACAAAAAAACAGGCGATATATATAATAAGTGTGTATGTCTTAGACAGAGAAATGAGCTTCAAAATTAATAAGAAAGCTTTAAGGGCAGTTGTATAAATCGTGTTGGAGAACTCAAGCAATATCTCTCTCTGTCTCTTTCTCCCTCTATCCATCTCTCCTCCATCTCTCTCTCTCTCCACTCTCCCATTTCTCTTCTACCTCCCTCCCCCTCTCTCCTCCATCTCTCTCTCTCTCCACTCTACCATTTCTCTTCTACCTCCCCCCCCTCTCTCCTCCATCTCTCTCTCTCTCCACTCTACCATTTCTCTTCTACCTCCCCCCCTCTCTCCTCCAATCTCTCTCTCTAAATTTCTCTCTCTGTCTGTCTGTCTATCTATCTATCTGTCTGTCCGTCCGTCTGTCTGTCTGTCTGTCTTTCTGTCTCTCTCTCTCTGAGTCCATCTCTCTCCTCCCTTCCTCTCTCTCCAACCATACCTTCATCATCTCTATATTGTCGTGCTCACAAGCGTGACTCAAGAAGGCTCCCTGCCCAATGTTTGCCCCAGCCTCAATCAGGAGCTTCAGAGCTTCAACGAGCGGGGCTCGAACCAGGAGCTCCACGGGCTGCCCCTCTGGCACATTCGGGTCGCAGCCGGCCTTCAGCAGGAGGTCAATGAGTTCCACGTTCCTGGCCAGACACACACGCACCAAGGGCGTCTCGCCGTCAACATCTCTTGCGTTAACGTCCGCCCCTCTCTCGATGAGCAGCCTCACAACGGGGATGTTGCTTTCTGAACAGGCCAGGTGTAGACCTGTGTTGCCATCCTCATCCTTGCAGGAAAAAAAAATATACATTACAGTCTAGAATGTGTATATAGCGAAACACATACATGCTGAAACACACATCACACACATACATGCTGAAACACACATCACACACATACATGCTGAAACACACATCACACACATACATGCTGAAACACACATCACACACATACATGCTGAAACACACATCACACACATACATGCTGAAACACACATCACACACATAATGAAAAACACACATAGCGAGCAGTTTTCAGGTCCAAAATTTTTCTAAAACGTGTATTCTTTGTATTTAAAACATATTATATATATAGTGAAATTAGAATGCAATAAAAATATATTCACATCTAATTGATTTCACTACGTACAAGAACGACTAACTAGTAGCTTTTGTAACTTCCATCAATTCTTATTCCACTCAGAAGGTTAAAAACTTTTTAGCTAACAAAGAGAGAGAAATAAAAAGGTAACAGTAGAGGAAAATGCTTGTCAAGTGCTAGTACTCGATTGCTTCAGGCGTCTGTTCCTCTCACATGGTTAAAACACCCCCCTCCCCCCAAAAAAACAACAAATCAGGATCACAGGATCACCGACAGGCCAGTTAAGAATAAACAAGGAAGCTAAACAGCTGGTGTGGAGTCCTTCCACCTGTGTTTTTTTAACATTATAACACTGTCCCCGTCGTTTTATGCAAGAAAAATTATGAAATTATGCAAACTGAGCCCCAAAAATGTGAAATTATGCGATTCTGGTAATTTTAACCAAAAATGATAAAGGAAAATAATCAGAAATTATACAAAAAATGATTAAATTCAGCTAAATTATGCGGAATGCATAAAACCACGGGGAAGGACAATATAATGACACTGAATTTAATAAGACAGTCATGTGTCTAAAACAACCACTTTTCTTCTTGATAATGGGAGGCCATTTTTCAAAATTTTGACTATACTTAAAAAACTCACAACAGCATTGATGTCGGCATTCGCTTGTAACAGTTTCCGCACCACACCCGTGTTTCCACCACTATGATCACAGGCAAAGTGCAGCGGTCTTTTGCTGAGGAAGTCGGAGCACTTGTTGGGATCGGCGCCATGGAAGAGGAGAACGGTGACAAGATCCTCTCGGTTGTGCTTGCAGGCCAGACACAGCGGGGTCAGCCGATTCCTCAGCACAGTGTTGACCAGATCCTCGTCCAGGTGACAGCCCACACGCAGAAAAGTCTCGAGTTCGCTGTACGAGATGAAATCCCAGTTGGTCAGCTCCAGTACGTTCATTGTCCAACTGGTCTTGACTTATCATCCAGGCATTTCACGGAGCACTCACCCAACCTTTCGGGAAACAGAAAAACAAACAAAAAATTATTATTTTTAAAATGCATTCATTTGATTTTGAAAACAATTTTACATACAGATCTAATAATTCTAGATGTTGCTTTGTCACAAGTTCAAACTTGAAAATAATAGTTGTAGAATCTGTCATCCCCATAATTGTTTATTATAAAATAGAATGAATTTGACCTTCTGAATATATAGAAAGATCTAGATTCTAGAATCTAGTTTCAAAGAGTACCAATAAAATTCTTAATTTTCAAAAGAAGTACAAGCATCCCAGTACAGTCCTAAGTCCTAAGTCCTAAATCATCTCTCAACGACAGTAGTACAGTTAGCAGGTCATTTTCAATGCTTCATTTCTTTTCTTTACATTCCCCCATATGCCCCTCGGGTCCTCTATCTGTCTTTAAAAATACTAATCAAACATGAAAGAAAATCTGTCCCTCTCAATTGCTTGTCTTAACAAATCAGATGAAACAGATTCCCTCACAGGCAATCTCCTCCCCCCTCCTACCCAAAGAAGGGTTAGAACAAAAACTATAGAAGATGAGGTTGATTACAGATTTAAAGGAGGGCCTAGATTTTCTAGGCTAGATTATAGATATAGATCTAGATCTATAGAATCTATACAGGTTATATATATATATAGAATCTAATAAATATATTCTAGATGCCTATGGATGGAACAGAACACAGTTTCAAATGGTTCATTGTTATTATTTTTAAGGCCATTATATTGTTGTAAAAACACGATAGCAAAACATAAGAATAGTAAAAGTACATGATAATAATAGAGAGAGGCCGAGTTCTATGAATATATGAGATTGTCGGTTCATTATCATTGATTCATTGTTATTCTCATTCCACTTTCATTCATTGTCATTATCATGGATTGCTTCTGTTCTCATTGTGAGAAGACTACCTGTTGCAACTCCTGGAGCAATGTATGATTCAGCACAGAAAGTAATCAAAATCAACTTACTGAACATAGTGAGAAAGAGCACAGTAATAGATCTAGTTGATCCAGAGCTTGAATTTCGGTCTTGATTACTCACTATAGATCTACCACTAATATTTTAATTACATTTTCCTTGACAGCAGAGCGTCTTTGCTCTCTGTTCTTCCTAACTCTCCCGCTCTCTGCGACAAGGAAACAAATAAAAGTCCATTCGTCAGGCCGTCGTAGTCTGCAGTCCAGTTGTAGCAGTTGCAAAACTTTTTGACACGGTTCCACAATTTTATCGCATTGTTGGTTTATCCGATAGTTTACACAAAAGTGTGGTCATAAAAACCTATGACAAATGAGTTTTGAGTTTGAGTTTGAGTTGAGAGAAGCGCATAGGTGCAAGAATAGTCATTTAGTGTAGTGCAGTGGAAGAGTAAGATAGACCGAAAGAAACAATGGAGAGAGGGGAAAATGCTCTGTGTCCAAAAGAAACAAAAGTATGTGGGCCTGCATGCATGATGCATACAGTAATAATTATTAATACTACTGTAATACATATATTATATACATATATATACATCACTGTTCAATTTAATGAAAAGTCGTAACACTGTCAAATTCGGTTCAATACAGGACAGAATTTAATCTACATATTATATTGCTTAGGAAATACGTCATCTATATATTTGGGCCGGCCCATCACAGAGGTGTGCTGGTTGTTCGCTGTAGCTTCATGTAACATTGTAAAAGCTATAGACTTGCAACACATCCAAGGAGCTTTACTTTGAATCTCCTTGAACACATCCTACAGCCTAATCAGACCCATTGCTGCTCAGTTTTTGTTGTCTTTTTCTCTTGACTTCAAGTCTTTACAAAAACAAAAACATAATTAAATTATATATTTTTTCAGCAGCTTTAGATTTTTGGTCTTGTTATTAGTACGTACCAATTAAGTGTCTTCTCACACCAGTCTTTACAACTCTCCAAATGAGAACTGGTGCTAGTGCAGCGAGGCTTAATCATGATGTAGCTGTCTTAGTACATGTAGTGAAATAAACTTAGGCTACATATAATAATAATATACGAGTATATAAGCAAGCCTTTGATTCAAATCCTCAAGAATGTAACTTTTTGTAGGCCTTTTTTTTTGTTTTTTGTTCCCTGTTGGTTAAATTTTTCAGTTGCTATGCCTATTCTATGCACAATCACAAATACTCCTACCAAACAATGCAGAGTTTACCTCATTAACGACAAAAAAGAAACCCATTATATTTCCCTTCAGTCGCTATCCGTCTGCTTCTCTAGATA